CAGGTCTTGAACCCGCGGGCTCAGGCAATCCACTCACCCAGCCTCCCAAAGGCGTGGGATTACAGGCTGAGCCACTGAGCCCGGCTAGCTTTCACTTTCAATACTTGATTTAGGTGTCCACTTTCTCTTGGATCTCCTTGTGTCTCTTTGCCATCCATAACTGAATTCTATGTATGTCAACAGGACAGATCATTCTGAATAGTTTCTACTACTTGGGATCTGAGAGAATCCTTTGTGGATGATGAATTCTTTTGGCTTTGGGGTTTGCTGGTGTTTTCTCACTGATTCTTCCTCATCTGGAGGATAAACTCCTTTTTATTTTTTATTTTTCGTTTATTTTTTATTCCTTTTTTTTTTTTTTTGAGTTGGAGTCTCACTCTTGTCACCCAGGCTGGAGTGCAGTGGCATGCTCACGGCCACCGCAGCCTCAACCTATTTTTTATTTCTTAAAATTATTATTGTGGTGACAGTTTGTATAGCTTTTTATCTGAGTTTTTATTTTGTAATTATTTGTTTTTCCTTATCAGCGTGCCTGTGGTGTGTGTTGAGTATGGTCTATTGGCTTACTTTAGTGATCTGCCTCCCCATTCTTTTCCCCACTCCACAGGCTGGTCTGTCTGTGGAAGGGGCACAGGTGACAATGAGTTTGGCGACTTTGGGATTGGAGGTGGAATTGACTGACACTGCTTCACCAGTGCAATCTGGCTGGGGTGGGGCAAGTGCTTTCCTCCAGTTCAGATGGTTTCCCCATCTTCCAGCTTGAGCGCCAGGGTCCCTGGCTGGCCAGGAGTTCTGGCTCTTTCCTTCCCATGTGCGTCCCGTTAGCCGGGTTGATGAGCAGCCAGGAGGTGCCCTACATCTCAACTCTGGCACAAGTGATACGGCGGGCACAAAGCAATTCCTTCCCACTTAAGCAAGTCGGTTCCTCACACGCCGGAGCTGAAGGCAGAACACTGCCTTGCCAGGGGACACCCGGTGTTTCTTACTCAGTCCATAAGTGGGTCCCAGCTCAGCTGCCCTGCTGTCTCCAGCTGGGGGAGGTCCCGAGGTTCACCTCAGTGCTGGAGGTCCTGGCTTGCCGGGAGTCACAGAGGTGCTCTGAGTCTAGTTCCTGTCCTGTTTGGTGGAATGGGCAATAACGGCAACCTCGTTGGGGCAAGCCAGGTCTGCAGCCCTGAACTGGGGCCTTGACGGATGCCGGTGTTATTGGAGAAACGTCCTCACAGTCAGCACGTTGCCCTGGCTGGGGGTTGGAGAGGGAAAGAGCAGGCAGTGTCCCCAAGGTGCAGACCATCACTGCAGTGTGTCCTTCAGAGCCTCCCCCAGGGGGCGTTGGCAGCCGCCAGTACTGGACCTCAATGGGAGCCAAAGTCTTCTGGGCCCCATGTGGACTCAGCCAGTGCCTCTGTCCTGATTTAAGCAGTTTTTTGTGCCTGGAAAGAATGGGAGGACGTGCAGGGGGAGAGCTTGGGTTGTCGCTCCCTTGGCTAGGGCTGAAGTTCACTAAATGTGTGTAAAAATCTCTCCTGTTCACTCATGGCTTTCTTCACTAAGATTGCTCTCCCAGTCTCGTGTGGGGACTGTTTTTGCAAGTGCTTTTGGACCTTGAAGCTGCCCCTTCTCTGTGGCCCCATGTGTCCATCTGATGAAGCTAAGCTTGGGTTTCTAGGCAGATCTCCAAAAAGCCAACTGCGGTCCTGCTTTTAGACTCTCTCACTGAGAGAGAGTAGTCCAATGTCTCCAGTCTGCCATCTTGGACCTGCTCTCTTAATAATTAACTTAATCAACTTACCTTAATGATTTTAGGACTACTGTGATTTTCTATTGCGTATTAAGTCAGTTTTAATAATCTAAATTTTTCCAAGAATTTTCACATTTCATCTAATTTTTCTAGTTGCCACAAATTTGTTTGGTAGCTTTTAAATTTGTGCAGGTCATCAGTGATTTGCTATTTATTATATCTTCTAATAATCTACTATAAGCTTTTATTACAAACCTAATGTTAACTATGTGTGTCTTCTCTTCTACTTACTTGATCAACCTTCCCAGATATTTATCCTTTTTTCTTTAAAGGATCATTTGCTGCCTTTGTAGAGTCTGTCCATTGCATATTTGCATTTGATTTCCTTCATATGTGCTGTAATTTTTATTATTACTGTCTACTTTCTTTGGGTTTGTTTTGCTGTCATTTTTCTAGTTCATTATGAAGAATATTTAGTTCATTCATTTTTAGCTTTTTTCATTAATATAAGCATCTAAGCGTATAAATTTTTCCTAAAAGTGCTGATTTAGACACATCTTTTGTGATTTTATATAAATGATACAGGTCAATTCAACCTATTTTCCAATTTTCATTATGATTTTTAAAATCTGTTTAAAGTGCATTTCTAAATTCCAAAACATATGATAACTTTAAATTTAAATGTTAAATTATTTGTAGCTTTTTGCACTGTAAAAAGAGAATAAATTTTATAGGATTGCAAAAAATAAATAAATAAATAAAAGTATCTTCTACAAGCTGGGCTCGGTGGCTCAGCCTATAATCTCGCGCCTTGGGAGGCTGAGGTGAGTGGAATGCCTGAGCTCGCGGTTCGAGACCCACCTGGGCAACTTGGCGAGACCTCATCTTTACAATAAATAAAAAATCAGCTGGGCATGATAGCGCGTGCCTGTAATTCCGACTACTCGGAAGGCTGAGGCGGAAGGACCACCGGAAGCGGCCACTGCACTCCAGTCTGGGCGACTGAGTGAGACTCCAACTCAAAAAAAAAGTATCTTCTACAGAAAGAATTTAAATTAATCAACATGTGATTGAAAAATATGTGTTCTTACTGTAAACTAGTTTAGCAAGATTTTAAGATTTTCTTAGTGTAAATAAAAATTACTTCATCATACATTTTTATACAACAGTCAGGAATTAAACATTTGTTGTTGACCCAGGAATATTGTTGAAGTCAATTATCTTCCTTCCTAATTTTTTGTCTCTTCTAAAATAGTATGTGTTCACTTAGTAGTCTGTTTTTTCCTGTGTATACTAAATATGGTTGGAAGGTGGTATTTGGATTCTTTGATCTCTCATGTACTCTCTGTGATATAAATATTCTACATTCTGAAATACTCTTAAGTCTGCTTTGGGCATAAGAGTAATATAAGACATTAGTGAAACTATTTTCGCTTGAGTCACCAGCTACCTCTCTGTAGCTAAATTCAGTGTATACTTTTCAACTATTACTAACAATGCTTGACTTTTTAAGTAACATTTTCCTCTCTGTTGATCATTTCTTTCTTAAAATACATTTTTCTCTTGATGTCCTGCATTTCCCTCTACATCTTTGGCTCTTCCTTTCCAGTCTTCTTTCTAGATTCATCTTCATCTACGAGTCCTTTAAATGTTTTTGTTTCTTAGTGTTTTTCTTGGCTTTACTGACTTCCCTTTCTACAGACTCTCCGATATTATTTCCATGACTTTGATTACTATCTAAATGTTGATAATTTTCCTCTATTTCTCTCATCTGAGCCCTAGATCTATATATTTATTCAATAAGCAAATTAATATTTATTTATTGAGCTCTTGTTGTGTGCCTGATATTGTTCAAGGGAATTGGGAGACAGAGCTGAGCAAGAAGACATTGCATTCTCTGGGAGGAAAACAGATAAGCACATAAATCATTTCAGATAGCCCTTACTGCTATGAGGGAGATAGATAATGGCAGAGACTGATGGGGGTAGGATAGAGGCAGCGGAAGGGAACTGTTTGGGCAGGTAGTCAGAGAGTCTTTCTGGGGATGTGATATTCTAAATCAGCAGAATGGATATTGAGATGGTTCTTTGCCTTCACTACGCATGAGAATCACCTGTGGACCTTTAAAAAATACCTAAACTTAGCCTGCCTCAAAATAGTGGGCATTTATACTATTTATCCTATTTCATTGATCTGAGATGGGGCCAAGCACTTGTTTTTTTAAAAGCATCCCAGACTGTGGTGTCAATGTACAGCAATAGTTGAAAACCACTTATCAAGAGGGAGGGAATTCTGATCAATGGGAAGAATTAGTGCTTGAGGTCTTACTCTCAGGTAGTAATATTTATTGCATCATTTTTATGTTATAATTTTACCTGAAGTCTAGTATATCAAACTTAACAAGCATGTCCAAAGCTGAAATCAACATCACTTAGCTCCCTGCCCTCAATAGAAACCTGCTGTCACTTATGTATGCCTTATCTCAGAACCAGGTGCCACAAATCAAAATCTGTATGTCCTCTTTGGTTTCTTCCTCACATTTTCAGCTAATCTTCTGGTACTGCTTGACTCTACCTCCTGAATATTTCTACAGTCTCTTCTTTCCATTTTTTCTTTTGCCACTGTACTCTCTCACCTTGTAAAGGCCAACGTTTTAGCAGCCTCAAGTCCTAACTCCTTACCCCATCCATTATCCCAGTGTGATCCTGAGTTCTTTGTAAACTTCAAATCTAATGAATTCGATTACCTGCTTATGTCCCTTTCTTGGCTCCTCATTGCCCCCAGAATGAAGTCCAACTCCTCTGACTTGATCTGCCCTTAAATGACTTCTCTATTCTTGATTCTAGCCACTCCCTAATCCCTCTTGTTTATTCTAAGTTTCAATCAAATTGAACTAGTTAGAGTTGCTGAATGCGAATACATTTCATGTTAGGTTGCTCCTAACTTCTGGCATGATATTCCCTATGCTTTCCCACTCCCTGACTCCTTATTTTTAAGCATGAGCTTGGATGTCACCTCTGGTAAACTTTTCCTGATATATGTAATATTGAGCTAGTAAATTCACCTATACTTGTCCTATTTTATCACTTTAGTACAACTGAAGTACTGTGTTGTCACTATTTTATGTGTAGCCAACATTTAAGTGATGAGCAGACATTTAAGTGTTAAGAATTTTAATCTTTAAAATCAATGTTCTAAATGAAAATAAATTTTTGTGAATTATATATACTTTTAAACATAAACTAACTGTTTTTTTTAATAGGAGAACTATGCCATTTTTGGGTCAAGACTGGAGATCTCCTGGTTGGAGTTGGATTAAAACAGAAGATGGCTGGAAGAGATGCGAGTCCTGTAGTCAGGAACTTGAAAGAGAGAATAACCAGTGTAACATCAATCATAACATGTAAGTTACAACTGAGTACAAGCATGTCATTTTCTAGTTTAGCATTTATGACTTTGTCTATTTTTCATGTCCCTGCAACTCTCCATAACTTATAATTTGAGACTTGTCCACCCAGAAGGCTGGTATGAAGAAAAACATTATTTAGGTAAAGAATGAGGTGAGTAGATTGCCTAATATCCACACATGAAAGCTACTTTCTTCTTTTTGTTTAAAAAAAATGAATCTTCACAATAATCTGAAAGATAGATATTATTAACTCCAAATTATAGCTGAAGAACCTTAGGAAATTAAAATTATAGCTGGGCTCGGTGGCTCAGCCTATAATCCCGCGCCTTTGGGAGGCTGAGGTGAGTGGATTGCCTGAGCCTGCGGGTTCGAGACCCACCTGGGCAGCAAGACCTCATCTCTACAATAAATCAAAAAATCAGCCGGGCGTGGTAGCGCATGCCTGTAATTCCGGCTACTTGGAAGGCTGAGGCGGATGGATCGCCGGAGCCCAGCAGGTCGGGGCTGCGGTAGCCAGGAGCGGCCATTACACTCCAGTCTGGGCGACAGAGTGAGACTCCAACTCAAAAAAAATAAATTAAATTAAATTAAATTAAATTAAAAAAATAAAATAAAATAAAATAAATAAAATAAAACAGGTTTGGCCACATACGTCAGGCATAATAACAGTGGCTTACAAGAGACAAATGTATTTTTCTCCCTCAAAAACCTGAGTTGGTGTCGTGACTTTGCTTATAATGTTGTCAGAAGGCTGAGTGAAGTTCTGTTTTGCTGCACTGCCATCCTGAGAATGTGGTCTCATTTGCATGGTCCAAGGTAGAGTATTACCTGCCAAATCTGCATTTTGGCCTGTAGAGTGAATGAAACACACCCTGTGCTTCAGTGGCACACCCCAAAAGTTACATGCACCATGTCACCCATACCTCATCGGCTACAGCACTAGTGTAGGTGGTTGTAGCCTGTATTTTATGCAGACATGTGTCCAGATAAGAATCAGAGATTGCAGGAGCACAGAAATGGCTGTGGTGTGGTACCATGGTGGTGTTTGAGACTTTGGAGGGTTAGAAAATTCTGGATACCTCCTCCTCTGGAATGTCATGAGTCTGGTCATTATTTTTATTATGTATTCTTAATTGAAATTTGCATAATTATCAGCTGTGTGTTTGACAGGCCATATGTTTTTCTGACAGATATTTAGAAACTTTAGATCAGAGACTGGCTTCCACAGTATTTGAAGCAGAAATTAATTTTAAATTTCAGTTATAGTGAATATAACATAATATTTGTTCAACTTATATTGTGACAGTTCTCTGCCATTTTGAGTTTTATTTAATATTAATGGATATAAAATTTATTTAAGATTTGTAACTAGTTATGCCATTGGTACCACATTAATGTCATACAGTTATGACTTTTCTAGGTTTTTTATTGTTTTATAATTTTTATTGCAAATTATTTAAATTTAGAGTTGGTTGAATATATATATAGAAATGTTAGGTGTCTCACATTTACTCCCAATAGCTACTATTAAATGTGAAGATTCCTAAAATTGCTGTTTTTAAAATGGGGAAAGAGGTTACAAAAGGTTCAGTTTTAAAAAGCTATGATACTTGTAATACAATATTACTGCTACATTAAGGGATTTGTGTGACTTTCTATATTCTTTTTCCTATCATCTCAAACACATTTTAAATGTCTGAGAATTAGTTTTTTCTATATACACATAGAATTAGAGAACATAGTCGAGACATATTTTCTTCACATGGTAACTCCCTGCTCCTCTGACTTTCTTCTCTCTTCCCCCAAACTCATCTACACACCCACCCCTTTGAACCAGTCAGCACTGCTGACAGACGTGTCCCTGAACAAAAGGTATTATGACAGCAACCCTGGCTACCTGTCATGGGGCACAGTTAAAGGAGGACTAGTCAGCCATCCCTTCACCCCATTCATTTGCTTCTCAGATCTCTTTCCCACTCTACCTTTTTTCTGTCTTCTCCAGCTTCTCTCCATTCCTACCAAAATGCAAATCCAGATCTGAGGGGAAAGACTGTTGATGACATGACATTGCAGCAAATGTTTAATATGTCCTTCTGTCCTTGGTAGGGAAAGCCATTTAACTTTGAATCTTAAATTGATTTAAAAAGATACGACTGTATGTAACCACCGTTTTACATCACTGTACTAGGGAGGACTCAAGAAAACCAGAATTATATTTTGTAGGGTGGGCTTCTTGTAGTATACTCAGAATTTGTTCCTGTGGATCAAATGGTCAACCAAAGTTTTTAATCTGGAAGTTTTGATGAAGTTGTTTCACAGTTTATGGAAGAAACATCTCAAGTTGTGGCAAATAGGTGACTGGTTCTTCCACCATGACAATGCACCTGCCCACACTGTGCTGAGTGTTCAGCAGTTTTTGATAAAAAAGGCATGACCCTGTGCCTCACCTTCCTTATTCATCTGATTTCTCCCCAAGTGACTTGTTTGTTTCCCCTGATGAAAAAAGTCCTCAAAGGGGAACATTTTGCTGATGTGAAAGAGGTGAAACAAAAAACGGCAGAAGCACTAAAAAGCATCAAAATTGATGAGTTCAAAAACTGTTCTGAGCAGTGGAAAAAGCATCTTGGTAAGTGCATTGCCTCAAATGGAGAGTACTTTGAAGATGACTGAGGCTTAAACATGTAAGAATAAATACACAGTTTTTTATTAATAAATTCTGGGTTTTGGGGGAGTCCTCCCCATATTAAATGGTCTTTTTTTTCTCCAAATGTCTTCAAGAAGCATAGTACTCCTAATTCTTTGATAAACTGTAGTAAAAATAATTTAGGTGATCAAGATTCGAATTAACTTTTAATTTTCCCTTTTTGTAATGGACATTAAAATATAAGCCCTTTAGATGTCCCTCTGCTTACTTTTCATCTCATTTTAGGATCAAAAGTTCAGAGCAAGTAGGTAACAAATTACACAATTCAACATGGTTGATCTGGGGACAGCCAGCCAGTTCATACTATGAATCCTTGATTAAGCTACTCTTTCAAGCAACATTCATATTATTGAGGTTAATGATGTTGGAGTAAATTTTAAACCCTGTTTTGAATTCCCAGTTCTTCATTTACATGCTGTCATATATTAGAACTTACAAAGTGTTTTACTACAGAGCATAGCTTGATAAACAAAGGATTCATCATCAACTCTACCTAAGGAAGCATATTTAATAAACTGTTGACGTTGAACAGAAGGTAGATCAACTGGGATGCAGAATGAAGAGAGGACTAGTTCAGGATTTTAATAGACAGGTGAGAAATGATGAGTACTGCTTACAGTAACATCTGTGCAGCTGAACAGAGGTCAGGATCAGTAAAAGGGTGGGTTGCAGGTTAAGTGCATAAGCAAAAAGGGGGCCCTAAGGACTTTGAAATTTCAACTGAGGAAATGGTATAAGTAAATAAATAGCCTGGCTGGATCTTCTCTCCAGTGCAGCATTGCTGCCACTCAGTTTTATGTTTGACAGTGAAAATTGTAAAATTTTTATAAAGGAAAGGTATTGAATAAGAGGGTCTAGATACTATACATATGTAAGAATGTTTAACTTTTTCCATTATATTTCAGTGTTACTAGTAATTATTGGCATTGCTGAGAATATGCAAGAAGTTACTCATTGTCTTTATGAAGCTGACAGTTGATAAGGGAGTGTATGAACAAACATAGCATGTCAGCTTAGACTTGGCAGGGATGCCTCTAGGGGTCTTTTCTTTGCATTGAATTTATTAAATATTTTAATTGTATTATTTTTATTTATACTTTATTAAACATTCTATTTTCTTTTCATATTTGAATGTTTTAAGGTTTATTTTGGTTATTTGGTTCTCAGTGGGCTTAGCAATGGGGATCATTATAAATTTAGGGCTCCAAAAAATGATCTTCAGCTCCGATAGTTCCTAACATAGCCCATGATAGTTGAATTCCATAAAAAGCATTTTAAAATTGTGGGTCCCTCAAGGAAACAAGATAAAAGAAACTGCATTTTTGTTTCCCTTATGAGAATGTGAAAATGGTCTCTGGTCACCTTGAGGGATAGAGAATTCATGGGATCCCTGTGGCTCCTGAAGTGCACATACTGGGCTTTAGAGCCACAGTACATTGGTGAGGAGACATCTTGTACCCATTTATTTGGTTAAGTAAATACTCCTGTTGTCACGTTGGTGTTTTTCCTTAGTATTGTTACAAGTTTCAGTAAAAATCCATATGGCCTTCCTTATATTATTTCTTTAGTGACTAGGAAAAAAAATGTAAGTGATTTAGAAGTGTCAATCTCAGCACTAAGTGTTTCAGGCAGTATTTGTTGTTATTGCTTTTTTAATTAATGATTTCATCTAAATTATCTCTTCCCAAGATTTGTGGTTTTGTTAATCATCAGGTAACACATGCTTATTGTAAATGAAATTTATTTTCTGCCAATGATAATTGTGTGTGTGTGTGTGTGTGTGTATGTGTGTAATGTAATCCCTAAGCATAAAATGTAAAAGGTGAAGTTGCCTTTTTCTGGCTGAGATCCTCTTCTGCATGGCATCATCTACATGATCATGCTTACCAGATGTCAGAACCCGTGAAAAGTTATGAGCATCATCCCACGCCCTTTAATTGCCTGCCTGGTGGTTTCAGTGTCCCATCCGGGGGACTCACAGCCCCTGGCTTCAGTACTTGACCTCTTTGTTCCTAGGATTTCCTCCTCTCTTCTTTGTCTTAGCTGTCCACTCCCAAGGTCCAAAACCTTGAATTCAGGAATTTCAGTCTTTAAACATAACCTCCCTACCTTCTAGGTTTCCTGACTCCTACTTTGTCTGTTGACCTATTTTTTCCTATCAACTTTCTATTTTTCCTATCTTTTTTGTTCACTTTATATTCCATGATCCATTGTTTCAGTAACACTCTTGCCAATACCCTAAATGTCACCCAAGTCTTTTTTAAAAATATACCTAAATGGCAAATTTCCA